CGGGGGGTGACGGTGAGCTGGGGCAGTTGGGCAGCGCAGGGGAGAAGGGGGTGCTTGCTGTTAGGGGCTTTGCGAACAGCTTTCGTGTTTCCCCCCTTTTCAGGGACTATGGCAGTGGGGTAGTTGGCTGCTCTCTTTTAACCTGCTTCTTGCTGTATTTTTCCTTCACTGGGATGGGTCAGTAGATGGTTGTACTATGTTGCGGGCAGGGTTTTCCGAGGCTGGCAAGACTTGGGGGAAAGGCGCTGAGAATACCAAGAAAAGATATCTGCAGCCTACCACTGCTTGCTTAGCAGTTAGGCTCCACGCAACTGTCCTCGGGTGCTGCTGCGAGAGCTGTTGGGGCAGTAGCATTCTTCCCCTGGGGACAGTCGATGCTGTTGTGCTGGAGCACCCAGCAGAAAGCTTCCATTTGCAGGCACCCCGTCCGTCAACAGGCCCTCACAAGCTGAGGGAGTGCCTTCCGCTCATCATCTTCCTGCGGAACAGGCTGAAGTATGCCCTGACAGGAGACGAGGTCAAGAAGATCTGCATGCAGAGATTCATCAAGATAGATGGCAAAGTCCGCACAGACATCACCTACCCTGCGGGCTTTATGGGTGAGCGGGGAGGGCTGGGGCAGGTACCTCAGACAGCTCTGCTGCACTGGAGGGGTATGTTTTGTGAGGCTGGCACAATCTGGGGGGAAAGATGCTTTCCCGGTGGAGTTGAAGAAAGGATAAGTATAAGCAGTTGTTACTTAGTTTGGAGTCGTGCACTGCAATGAATACCAAAGCCAGATATCTGTAGGCTATAGCTGCCTGCTTGCGTATGCGTAAATTGCTGTTCGGATTTCAGCTTTTGGCAGTTTTTGCTAATTTGCACTGCATCACAGTAGAAGATATGAGCTTGTGGTCAAGAGGAGATACCGACCTCGTCATTCACACCTGAAGTCCCTAGTTCTTTTTAAACATGAGCTTCGTGCTGAGTTACAGTGTTGGGTAACGTAGCTGATAACAGCTACTATTTTGTTTCCCTCTCTGAAATCAGATGTCATCAGCATTGAGAAGACAGGCGAACATTTCCGCTTGGTGTACGATACCAAGGGCCGGTTTGCTGTTCACCGCATCACAGTTGAAGAGGCCAAGGTGAGGGACTTCAGCTTGGCGTAAGTGTGGGCCCAGTTGGGTTTGGTGAGGGTGGTGTTTCTTCTTTGGCATCTGAGCGGGAGCTGTTCGCTCTCTTCCCTGAGAGCTGAGTCCATGCCACCCTTGAGAAGATCAGGGCCTTCAGGGTTGGGATCCGAAGCCTTTGGCAGGCGGAAATCTTTTGGTGACATGAGAGCAACTCCCAGATGGCTGCAGGTGCATTGTCTGGTGCTTGAAATGACGGCTGTTGGCATGGGCTGGGTTACCTTCACATGGGTAACAAAGGGTTACATTTGGAGTGGGGGTGGCTCTGCTGTGTTGTGGTGAGCCTTAGCGTAGGACTCTGCAAGCTAACCGTGATCAGAAACATGGTACTGCCTGTGGTGCAAAAGCCTTGAACTCCTTCCCGGGTCTGTTACGGAAATGTTTACAAAACTGTCCTCTGGCCCTCAGTGTTGGGGAGTGACTCCCGCACATGTTTCCTTAACCCAAGCATGTTGGCATGCCTCAGCTGTGAATCTGCGCTGTTTTTCGCATGTCCTTCCTAAGGGCAGGCTGTGCAGGCACACAGTGATGCTGAGGGGAGAGCTGGCTGTGCTGTAGCCGGCTGTGGTGTGTGTTTAGGGCCCCTCCGCCCCCCTGTGGTACGCTTTTACCTCTGGCTACCACTCTGTGTTGACCCGTGAGTCCCAAAGTGGCTGAGAAGGAGTCGGGGATGAAAGGCAGGAGGGAAACCAGGGTGCCCTGGAGGAGGGATGCAGATCTCTCTCGGGTCCTGAAGAAAGGCGTCCTCTGCCTCCGCTGTGTGACTATGGGCTTCAGGGCAAAATGAGGAAATTGCCCTGGCATAGGCTTTCGTGGGAAGATGCAGCCAGTGCTTGTGAGGAGGCCGAAGCCTGGGGTGGGCAGCTGTTCCCCAAGCGCAGGTGTTTCTGGTGGGGCTGTAGCATAGCCATGTGGCAGCCTAATGAGAGGCATTGCTGGGGCAGTGAGCTGGGCAAGTCGCTGCCTAGGCTCCTGTTGCAAGCCCTGAAGCGTCTGGGTGTTTTGCTTGGGTCTGAGGCCTGCTGTGGCTGGTGGCTCTCTGGGTGAGGAGACCCCTGGTCCATGGTGCCACTCACTCCCTCAGCTGAGCAGTATTGGGTTTTGTTTGCAGTACAAGCTGTGCAAGGTGAGGAAGATCTTCGTGGGCACCAAAGGAATCCCTCATCTGGTCACCCACGATGCCCGCACCATCCGCTATCCGGACCCCCTCATCAAGGTGAATGACACTGTCCAGATTGACCTGGAGACAGGCAAGATCACAGATTTCATCAAGTTTGACACAGGTAGGTGTTGCATCCCATGTAAAAGACT